AAAAGTCAATTATATTTAGATAATATGATATTAACATTTCTAATTTTTTGTCTCGGTGATGCAAATCTTTTGAGCGCCACTGTATATTGCATCATGTTGAGGTGTCCTAAATCATCGAAAAGTCTGAAAACTCAATTCCAACTGATATGGACTGCGGAAATCCAATTTTAGGCGCAGTTAATTTCCGAGAGTGACAATAGCAAAAAAGTCCTGCATATCATTTTAAAATTTTTTTGCTACGAGAGAAAAAGTATTAATTGTATGACCTAATGGATATTCCACGATATAATGTATAATGATTCATTTTAGCTCCTACATAAATCAGAAACTTAATTTTTTCTGGTAAAATATTACCAAGTGATATAATGCAAGACTCCGTCTGAATTCAATAATTGTAGCGTGTTGGAAGTTGAAGTTGTCTAACATGAAAGCAAATCGGTAAAGCGTATGATTATAATTAATAAGGTTTATAATTTTGAAATAATTACATTATAAATATTTTAAATATATTTGGGCGCAACTTAATTTTAATGCATCACACGAAATAAAATAAAATATTCATAGATTTTAATAACATGAAAGGAATCTTGTTCCGGTCAGTAATCTTTTCTATCCATATTTCCAAATTGAGCCATTTTTCAGCAGTAACACCTGCGGAAACAAATGCATAATGAAAGTCATCAAATCCCTTGCATATAAAGTCATTTCATGAAACACATGCAATATATTAAATTTTTTGGGCTGGGCGTTCATTATTGTAAAAAAGTATCATTTTTAACCTGCGTAACAATATTTTTTTATTTTGTTTGCTCTATGTAAATTTTAAATTCATTTAATTTATTCAGAACTACAAAATTTTGTAAGTTTGAGAAAATTTTTGTTTTTGTGTAACCATTGGCGTTTAAGAATCGATTAAAAACGCCGATATACTTTATTGTATTTGCATTTTTTTGGCCATTGGTTTGGTTTTTTGTATGAAAATCTTTAATTATCTGTATTGTAATGTAACAATATACTTAAATTTGCATGTTTATTCTTTGTTAACGCCAAATTTAAATATTGAATTCAACCATATGGAGCCTTTGCAATAGAAAGAGGGGGAAACTACCAAACAATGAAATCTAAAAAGCCAATGATTGTCATTATTTTGATTTTTGTGATTAGTTTCACCCTTTTCTATCGCAAGGGTCCATTTGTGCATCTAATTTCTCAATATTTTTGGATAGCACCATGCATAACAAAGATGCCCGTTTCTGAACGCCATACATATTAAGATTAACTTGATAATGTCAAATAAGAAGATCTCGGTAAAACCAAGCGTACATAAAAAAAAATTTTTTTTCCATATATATAAAGTTTAATAAATTGTAATTTCTCCCACAACGTAATCGTTATTTCCAGAGCACATTTGAAAAGATGGGGTCTGAATGTAAAATAGACATAGATAAACCAAATTCGGCTATTAGATCGTTCATATTTTCACCGGATTTAAATCATGTCATTACTGATCATGATGGTAACTTAGCTATATGGGAGGTTCTTTCTGATGATAACATCGTTAAAATGGATCGAAGCGTTAAAATTGAATGTGAATCCATCTCATTAATAGGTTTATCAAACAAGAAATTATTGATCGTTGGTCAAAAATCGCTTGCATATGATCATCATTGCGATTATTATTCGAATTTATCTATCCAAGATATGGAAATTTTTAGAGAAATTACGATAATACCTCGCCCAAAAGACGGAAGTTTTTTACGACTACTTCCAAATGGAGATCTTTTATTGCTACAAATCCCGCATATTTATATATATTCAGAGGAATCCTTAAAAAAATCAACAATCTCACCGTGTTCATTTACATCAAGACATTATATTTGGGGTGTAGATGAGATCAAAATTTGTCGTCTTTTTCAAATAGATGAACGAATATATTTCACTCTCGAAGAAAAAAATGTCTTACTTCACTTAAACATTGAAAAGATGAATATTGAAAGTTACCATATCATTCCAGAAATTACTAAAGCCATGGCCATTGGTTCCAAGGATTGTAGATGGGAGGGAACGGTGAGTATTAATCATGATAAAAGTTTATTCGCTGTACATTTAACAACGGATCATCTAATGAAAGAGGGAAAATCAAATGAGTCTTGGATATATGTATTTTCAGTGAAGAACGGTCTACGGATTTCATCAAGTGAGCAAATCTTTGGCGATCCATTTTTTTTTTTTTTTTTTTTTGCCATTGACTATACTGACCGATCATTTTCTAGGGAAAGTCGCTATTTATAATTCATTAATAACATTTATTAAAACAGATGATACTGAAATTTTAGTATTATATTCATGCCATGGATACAAAATCGAGTATACGATCATGGATCCTTATGACCTCTTATACGAGCATAAGGGTGAATATGAGATTAAACAAACTATTTCTAAATTATCTGGTGGTATTCAAAATTACATGATCATGAAAGATAATTCACAATATAAACTTTTGCTTAGTTATGTGGATCAAATCAAAATGGTCAACTTTAGCATACCCAAGGAGAAAATCAAAGAATTGTATGACAAGATGGTACATAATCATAACCTAATTATTAATTCAAGTTTTAATGAAATCAAAGATTCGTGTTTTACGCATGGAGGATTTTCACGTGATGAAAATACGGGACACTATTATTGTAATGGAAAAAATTTGAGATGGGAATTCTGGAATCATGAGCAAATGTACGGATTACTGGTTCATAAAGCGAATGAAGAGAAATTTCATATCGACCTTGATCGTGACCTGCATTTTCAAAATCTTAAAATTTTAAGTAATGATGATATAGTATTTTATAGTGATTCTGAGGTTCATATTTTTGGCTTTAACGAAAAAACAAGCACCATTGTACCTAGATATTATCATCATGATGTTGAAGAATTTTATAAGTGTAAAACGCTTCCAAAGCCAAGCATAACACTTTTAAATGAATTACCATTTAAGAACAAATTGGACTTGATTAGTGAAATCCTTAGTTCAAGAAAGAATCTCATAGAAATGAGTGATGACATTATTGATCATGCTATGAAACGAATGGGAAACGAGACGTTAGGAGTTTGCCTTAGAAAATTAATTGAAGCTTTTACTGATGATACTATTACGCATTATAGAATTTGTAGTATTATTACAAAATATCTGAAGAAATTAAAATTAGTATTTCCCACCCATTATTCAAAATTCCTTTCTATCACCTTATTAATTCCAAATCCATATGTGCATAAATCATATCTATCTGATAAAAGAAAGATGATTGGTTATACTGAACATGCTTATACGGTTCAAGTATATAAATATAAATTCATTCAAAAATTTTGTAATTATTTTCAACGTCATAATTGCTCGAATATTCTGAAACATAAAAAATCAAGGGTTATTAGCTTTATTATTCCTTATTTGGGTTTTACATCTTATCCTCCCGAATATAAAATCTGGATGGAAATCATAAAGCCGAGTGAAAATCAATTCGTTACTTTGGATGACCAAGCATTTTATGAAAGTTGGAATGCTGAGGCATTACTTAATTTCAAATGGCATACTTTTGGAAAATTTTATTATTGTTTATATTGGGGATTTTTTACCATGTTTTTACTTTCTTTTGGAATAATTTCAACACTATCCTCACCTGTAATATCTGATGCTGGGGTAACTCGTTTATTAATAATAAGCATAGTTCTTGGTCTTTTACATATTTTGCACGAAGTAAGACAGATAATTTGGAATATAAGAAAATATTTTAAGGATCCTTGGAATAGTTTTGGTATGTAAAATAATATTGCTGATTTATTTTTATTGATATTATTTATGAATAATTATTATTATTTTAGATCTTTGTGCAATTTTATTGCCAGTAGTTACCGCCATATTTTGGTTATCTCACGCTAAACCTCCATTACCAATGATTTCTTTATCCAACATATTCTTACATTTTAAATTTATGTCATTTTTAAGAGCATTTAAATATTTTGGCTCTTATTTCACTATTATTACTGGCGTGGCCAAAAGGATATTTTTCTTCTTAATCATCTTATTTCTTATTATAATTAGCTTCGCACTCGCCTTTTACATTTTATTAACCCCAGATAAAAATTATGATTTTGAGAAACTCGATCGTAGTTTAGACCAAAATAATCCTTGGAATCTCGTCAACAAATATCAATGGATTACATCAGATGACAAGATTGGTGAAATTTTAATTCAACAACCTGACTCAAATACAAATCAATTTTCCTCTTACCCAACTTCACTCTTTGCCATGTATCTGTTTTTAACGGGAGATTCTTCGGCATTTGGCGCATGGTCATATCAGGATAATCCATTCATGACGATACTGTTAACCATGTTTTCGTTCTTGATTGTGGTTTACCTAATGAATCTATTTATTGGTCTACTTAACCTGGAAATTGAGGTTAATCGAGCACATTCCTTGGTTTTACTTCAAAAAGCAAAGATCTTGGCTGAAATTGAACTCTTTTTTTTGTTTCCGAATCAACGAAGGTGGAATCATTGGTTTCCGGAGGTGATGTAAGTCATTTCAAATTGATTACATTCGTGCGATGCAAGAGAATTCGGTTTTCACTTTCTTTATTTTTTTTTTTTCTTTATCTAGATTTTATGAGATGCCGATTGAAGAGGTCAGACAAAAGATTATACAAATAGATAATACCCCTAAATCAGACAATACACCACATATTTCAGATAAATTAAGAAGTTTGGTTGATTTGAAAGTTGACAAAAATGTTCAAATGACAAAAGCTGACGGTGAAGAGTTAATGAAAAAGATGAAAACTGATTATGAAGTTTTATTAAATAAGACGAAAGTTTATTATGAAAATTTAATGAAAAGGACGAAAGAAGATCATGAAAATTTGTTGAACATCTTCATCACAGATAAAGATTCTAAACAACAACTTCTTGATGAAATTAAGAACCTTTTAATCAATGATAAAAATATCGGCAAAGAAGGAAGTAATGACATTCTTGACGTTAATAAATAAGAAAAAAAACTAATGAGCAACTCACATACATAAATGTTCATGAATAATGAATAAATATATATTGAATTATTAAAATATCTATCGTCTGTATACAATTATAATAAATCTTTAAAAAGCTTATCGTTATGTAAATAGAACCCCGAAAATACTAATGTAGGTAAGATCAAATGTTTACTGTAATATTAGCTGAACGCATGTAATTTTGTCCAGAGTGTACAATAATACGTAAAAGAAATGATCCATTAAATTTGAAATTTTTTATCAAAAAAAAAAAAAATATCTTAAAAATTTCATATTTGTATATCTTTTGAAATTCTTCACATTCTTCTATAGAAATTCTAAATAAACATGATGGACTACAATTATTTTAATATTAAAACCAAAATTTTTTAACACATTTTTCAATGTCTTCTTACCCTTAAAAGGGAATATTAAACTTTCCTTAGTATTATACCTCAATGCAATAGGAAGAATTTCGTCATTTGTATAATAGCTAATGTATGAATTTTGATTATCGCAAATTTCATGGATGCAAACTCATCACGTGATCTACTAGGTACTAATTATAATCCTTCCTTAACATTAATCGTAAATAAAGAGAACGATAATATAAGATTATTATATGAGCGCGAAATCCGTTGCAAATGGATCTTTTCCACCTTCGATTGAACGTCATATTATTCATCATCATCCAAACATACACGTAAATTTTGTGACAATTTCGGTAAAAAACTTATTTTCTTCTTTTAACCATAGAACACTACCAATAAGTTTTGTGAGAGCGTAGCACAGATCTGCGCACTGTGAAATTCCAAAGAAATTGAAGAAAAATAATATTAGGGGTTAATAGCTTTTATTAATCTTAGTATAATTAGAATAAATATTTAAATCAAATTTCGACTAAAAATAAAAATTTATGGGATAGTTCTGTAACAGTGATCGGTAAAATCATTTATTTAAATCCAATAAAATATTTACAAATAAAATTTGCTAATCTTGACCAAGTATATAATAAGTACCAGCTACGTTAATTTTTTAAAGGTTAACGAATATTTTTAAAACGGTTATTAACCAGTTAAAGATTTTAGGTCTCTAATTTAAACATGAATAATATTATATATAGACAAGAATTATATAACTTATGGCTCTAATTAATTCTACATTCTAAGCTGATGATAATGAAATGATAACTACCTATAATTGTAAAATCGTCCCCTTAGGATAGTGTTACGCGCAGTTCTTTATGATTTTGGTTGAAAACGATATGAAGGTAATCAGAAGGTTTATGTTTATAATTGACTTTTATTAATAACAACAAAATACTAGGCAAATAAGGTATTTCCTCCATCGTAAGCGCATTATACGATCCGATCAGATACGTATTTTTATTAATGTTCGTTATAAATAAATATGAAAGGAAATTAATGCTATACTAAAGCTATCTAATATTATTATCTAGAAACATGCATACTTCTCAAGCGAAATCCCACTATTTTTATACCCTACCGCAGTGATGTCCATTTCCTATGTCCCAAGCATTTGCTGTCCCAGCTATATGTCCCAACTATATGTCCCAACTATGTCCCATATATGTCCCAAATGTCCCACCTGTCCCATCAATGTCCCATCAGTGTCCCATCAGTGTCCCATCAGTGTCCTAACTATGTCCCATGACAACACTGCCCTACCGTATATTGCGGTACATAGTATCCCCCCTTGTATTGTATCACCACTTTTTTACCCGAAAAAATTAAATGTTCTTATTATTTAGAAATCTAATTTTAACCAGAAATTGCGAATTAAACAATTTTCTGATTGTTATACAAATCTTTAACACATTCTATTTACTGTGTAATAAAAATTCAAGTTATAGACTTGGTAGTGCAAGGTCATCATCCGAAATTTGCAAGATACCCGGGGTACTATGGCCCGCAATATACGGTAATTTAATTGTCCAGGAGCCATTTGGTCAAACAAATTGGCCGGATAGCATATTGGCCAGGGAGACAGTTTGCCAGGGCCTATCGATCTTCAAAAGTCTAATAAATATTATTATAATAAATTTTAAAATTATTCTAGACAAAATTGGGACACAATGCCCCGAAACTAATAGAACGATTATATTATTAATTAATTTCTATAACAATAGCTTTTAAGCATAATCTGCTTTAGCCGTCGATAATACCGCACAATATCCATAACTTACAGTATTGTCTAATTGTAATGTCGATCAGTAAGATTTAGCCACTAACGTGGCTAAATCTAACCGATCATCACAATTAATCGTTGCAAAGCACAAGAACAGTGTTGCAATTTAGCAGTTTTTTGAGATTTAGGAATAAGAGTATGGTCTGATACGCGAAGGTAGCTATTTTTAGGAAATTAATTTATATATATACGGTATATAATGGCATATGCATTATAAGTAGGGGTATAAGTTGTAAATATATGTTTGGATTTCTTCTTCGTATGATTATACCAATGCATAGTTAATACTGTTTTTGCTATAGATTTGATGTTTTTTATGTTCTAATATACTTTTGGTACAAGTATAGTACCTAGAGATAATATTCTCTTTATACTGTTAGATATAATAGGAGTACATGGTCACATACTTAGTCATCATAAGGCTCCTCAAAGAAGCCAGTTTGCTGATTAGTTAGGGATAACCGTCTTTACTAAGGAGATATTATTTATGGCACAACCATGGGAGGAGCTTGGTTACGACCGACCTTGACAATTCAAATCCAATGTAGAAAAAAAGTTTCGTCAAAAAAAAATGGCATTAGATCTGAACTCAATATAATTTAACCTTGTTTAATTTGTTGTAATCATAAACATTGACTTTACCTAGAATAGCTAAATGGATTGTAAAACAAACATAAATAGATATATATTAACGCAAAATGCTCTTCTATTAATTCAAAAGAAATGAATGAATTCAATTTCAGCAGAAAATTCATTGCGGTAAAGGATTTTCTAATTTTACGGCTAATCAATGATGAAATTTTACCTAATCTTACACATTCCAACAAAAGATCAGAAATTCTTATGCATTTCGTAAGAGTGTAAATAATTTTAGTAAGGTACATTATGGAAGTTAATGATATAGAAAAAGCCAATAAAGATTAGGTCAAATAATAAATTTGATTGAGCACTATAATGATGAAGGGAATAAAATTCTTAACCTGCTTTTTTGTATTTATTTGAATTTTTTTACAAATATAGCCTTTTGTATACTTTTGGTATTTCCGTTCCGTTAAACGAAATTTATTTTTATTTAATAATAACAATTTAATAAATCATTTTATTAAGATATTTTCCTACAGCAAATTAAACATGAACCAATAAAGGATCCTTTAAAATGGTGGGATTTAAACAAAAGCCGCTTTTATATTTTATCTCAACATACAAAAAAAATTATAAATCCTGCGACCTCTGTCTGTACTTATGTATTTCAGCAAATGAAATCAATTATCTACAGAATTGGTTGATCATGTCATGTTATTAATTAATTTAACCTTTTTTTAATATTTAAGAAACCTATTAATCACAGATTCGATTTTCAGTTATTACCGGTTAAATCAGTTTTATTCACTTTAAATACGGATTTTTTTATTTTTTTGACTGGTGTATATAAGAACACTCTTTGATTAAATATGTTATTCCATGAACTTGTATATTAATATTTATCTGACCAATGATGGACCATTATGATTCACATTTTCTATAGCATAATTAACATCTTTTATCCGAATTAAATCCAATTTTTAATGGTTTCCTAATCAAAAGAGAATATAAAATTTACCTATGAAAATTATGCTTCTTTCATTTAATTGTGCCCTCCATGATGTTTGTCACACTGCCTTTTATTTCATAAGTATAATTTAAAGCATTTTTGAATAAATTTAAGTTATTTTATTAATTTTCTGAAATTTTCGATTCGAAAATAAGTTATCTTAATAAAGAAAGAAATGGAAAGAAACGGAGATACTCGAATTATTAATAAAGTGCTATTTCTATATTTGTATAAAATAAGTAATAATATAAAAAAAAAAAAACTTAAATTTCTAGTATTAATGTTGTATAACTTGATAAACCTCATATTCTTCTATGGAAGAATAATCGTTAGTGTTTCTGATTTCAACTGCATAAGAATTTTTTATACAATCCAAAAAAGCATTTCCAAATATATTAAGATCTGTCGTACCAAATGATGGACCATAAATATTCACACATTTTATAGCATATCCAACATCTTTTACCCGACTTAAAACACAATTTTCAATGTCTTCTTTACCATTAAAAGAGAATATAAAACTTTCCTTAGTTTGATTGTATGAAATTTCTGTATTGTTTCTCCATGTAATAGGATTATACCCTCCAATAATTTCGTCACTATCTTCTATTTTAATAAACGTTACAGTACGAGCTTTATTATCGCAAATTTCATGAAACTTTTTGGGTGAAAACCCATCACGTGATCCACTAAGCAATAATTTAAATTCATATTGAACTTTTAGTTCGTCTTTAGCATCTATTCTATTTATCCATTTCAAAATTAATTCAGCATGTTTTTCTGTGATAATTTTTGAATCAATATTTGTTGAGCCGATCTTTTTAATTTCCTTAATTAAGTGGGATGTGGACTCATCACCTGGTATATAGTCATTGTTCAAGAAACATTTATTTAAATCTACATATAATTCTTTTGGCAAAGCTTTCTTGAATGGAAGAACTCTATTCAAAAATTCCCTGGAAGTCAAATTACGAAATCTTTGAAGAATACCTTACAACAATTCATTCAATTTATAAGTTTTGAAGTCATCTTTTGAGTAGTTAGAAGGATCCGAAGAGAGTTCCGGGTTTTGACTGATTCCCCAATTTAGAACATGTTCCCAAACTTGAATTGCACTTATTGAAAGTTTATCATTTTGAATAAGAGTGACTAATGATTTTTCTGGAATAGAAACAAAATCAACGGAATTAAATAATTTTTCTGGCTCTTTGGATATTAAATTGGTACAAAACTTTTGAAGTTCCAAGAAAGTGTCATGTTTAAAACTTGTTTGATATATCATGATAAAATGTTCTTCCATCCATTCTACTCTACTTTTAATCAAAAATAATTGTATATGGATGACTAATTCTTGAAGACTTAATTCACTAGCAGCAATCAAAATATTGATAATCTCTGACATATCATATTCTTCCAAAGAAAATTTCGCTCCATACATATACCTTTAAATTAAAAAAAAAAAAAAAAGAATTATTACAATGCAATGCGTTCACAAAACAGTCAATATTTTTAACTTGCCTCAAGATTACGTTAAAACTTTCAGGTAAAATGTTTGGTAAGTTAATATGCACCAAAGTTCCATCATTTTTCTTTTTATTGGTAGACAAAGCTCTTTGCAAATAAGGAGAACGATAAAATAAAATAATCTTATGTGCACGAAATACTTTTACATATGGATCCTTTCCGACTTCGATTGTAACGTCATAATATTCATCATCCTCCAAACATTCAAGTAAATTTTGAGATAATTTCGGTAAAAACTTATTTTCTTCCGCCATTATATTTAAGTTTTCCCGATAATAAGAGGTATAACCCTTATTTGAACTTTATATTGGAAACGCCAAACGTTACGTTACGCAATTTTTGTGGGAGGTGTCACTCGGGAAAATTGACTGCGCCTAAATTAAATTTCTGCGTCATATTACAGATAGATCTGGATGATCGGCCAATAAATATCCTTTTTACGGCATTCATGGATGACGGAAATGGCAATTATTTGAACGTATATCTTTCATATTGCCAAGGGATCCGTATTGTCTTAAAGATCCGAATGTCAATGCCAACTAGGATTGGTAAAGTCCTAAAAAGTCCTAATTGGTTTTTATGAATTTAAAGATAATTTTTACTATTAATTAATTTTTTAATAATAAATTTATCTTTTTAATTATTATATTAAATAAATTTCTTTATTAATTCAAAATTAAAAATTCTTTAAAAATTAGAAATATATTTAATTTAGGACCTAGTACTAGGAACTAGATCCTTAATCTAATATTTAAAGATTTTTTAAATTTTAAAAAGAAATTTTATTTTATTTTAATAAGTAACATTAATTAAAAAATTATTTATAATGATTATATTTAATCTTTAAAACTAATAATTTTTTTAAAATTAATCAGGACCAATTAGGACTTTGCCAACAGATTGATATATATTGATTGTCAAAACCTGAGGGTGATAATATCTTTAAAAGGCGAAGAAAAAAAGTTATTTGTTTTGCTTTACATTCTCAATAGAATAGAATTAACTTTTTCTTTTCTTATAATACCTAATGAGGAGTGCAGATTAAGGCTATAATAGTTGACTCTGATAAAGAAAGACTTCAACAGACTAAATTTTTAAATTATTTATAATTTAAGCGAGTGCATTTAAAGTTAATTGTATATTAATTTGGACTTTTAAAAGAGATATTGGAAATTGATTTTATATTTATCTTTATTGATATATATAAACTTTAATATTATACAATTATAAAAAACAGGAATAGAAATAATTCAACACTTGTATAATAATATACAGAAAGCTACTTTCATTAAAATTTATTTGCAAAGTCACTATTTATTACTTGACAATCAGTGTTATCAATGGATTGATCCAGTGTTTGCTGAATTAGACTGAATTAGACTGAATTGGATTGAAATAGATCGAATTAGACCAGATTGAAATTACTACAAAAGTATAATGTGATAAATATTTAATTATTAAAGTTTACAAAGTATTAATATAAGAAGAGGTCTAATTTTTTTGTAAATAGATTGATTTGTAATATTATATTTGCATTTTATTTTATGCATATTTAATAAAAAATGACATTTACTATATGTTAAGTTCCTTTTTCCCTATAAATAATATGTATAAGGAAAGTCTATAGAAATAATACGTTTAAAAAACGTATAATAAACGTAGATAAACAGTATAATAAATTCGTAAATATTTCCATATACTAGATACTGAAAATTGACTTTTCTGTATGCAAAAAAATACAGAATTTATACGTTTAATCAATATATTGTATACGTAATTTTACATAGATTTTATACGTCTAATCAATATATTGTATATGTTATTTTTGGTTGGATTTTTTATGTCTAATCAGTATATTTATTGTATATAGTATTTTACATAGATTTTATATATCTAATCAGTATATTGTATATATGTAATTTTGGTTGGATTTTTTATATTTAATCAGTATATTGTATATATTATTTTTGGTTGTGTTTTAACATATAAACATTAAATTATATACACATTTAATCATTAAATAAATATAACTTTAAAAATTAATTATGAAAT